TTTATCATATCACAGTCAGTTATTCTAAATTTACATAGTTTTACGGAGAACTATATGTGTATATCTCGTAAATATTATAATTACAAGTTGTAATTTATTGTCTACTTGTATACAAGTCGTATATAATGGGGATTATTATCCCGTTACTAAAAAACAATCTTCAAACGTCTAGTCACTAGCATCATTTTTATTACAAATTTCTGTTAGCCTTGCACTTTCCGTAGGCCATGACATTCTACACGCTTGATAATTACCGTCAGTCAAATGGTGATCTAGATTCTCATTGGTTAAGAAATTAATAACATCTGCAACTTTAGACTGTTGTTGACAACGATGAGATGACTTAAGTCCCACTTCTTTACAGTAAGGTTCCCCGCTAGACTTGTTGAAATTCTATCCCAAGTCTATTTCTTCACCCGTGAATGAAAAACTGTGTAAATTTCAGATTATCGTCCTAGTACGTAATTTGACCGACTTTCAAACCAAATATAAAAAATGAGACCGCACTATTGCATTGTAATTAAAATAGAAATGTACAACTTAAGGAAAAGAAAGAAAAAGTTTTCGATAGTAAAAGATGCAGGGGGAGGGGGAGGGATGTATGGATGTGTATGCAGTTTGTATCGGGTATATAAGTGTAATTAGGACCGCAGTACAATTCAGGCTACAAAAAGGGGGCGGAGCCTAATTTGTAGGGGAAATCATACAATCATACATCATACAAAACCAACAATTCTTACCATAAAATGAAATGATTCACTATTTTAAACTGTAGAGACCATCAAACTTCATAAAAACTTACTATAACACGCTGTTTTGTCTTTAGTTGAATCATATATAGCATGATATAAACAAGTCACTATCGCGATGCACTTGTCGAAGTGACGTCATTTCGTAAAACTTGACGCAAGTAATATTTTCACAACGAAAATTTATTCTAAAATTAAATAAAATATTATTTGCAGATATTTAAGAGGTCATTAACTTGGACGCAGTGTCTTTTTTAGGATTTTATTCATATATTCATATATTTTTCGTAAATTTCCTATTTAATTGATACTGCCGTTTATTTGTATGCAAGTACATCGGAGGGTAATCTAAGGGTCTTAATAAATCGATCTAGTTTAAGGGCATACACTCAATGGATCATAGTTAGCTTTTACAGATAAACTCTAGAGTTATTAAGGTATCTGAAAAGTGCTGAATCTTGAAAATGAATTTATAATATCTATATTTAATGCCGTTAACCAGCAAAAAATACAGCAGGTGGTCATACAAATATGATTTTAACAATGAAATAGCAGAATCTATAGAGGATCGCAGCACTTTTCAGAAACTGCAGTTCATGTTGAAAATATGTAACTTGGTTATGCCCTTGCACTAGTGACATTTATAGGTGACCTCAATACTGCAAGTACATGTGTTAAAATCACGTTAATCATAATTATTAACCATAATTACATTTGTCCGATATAAATAAAGTGCTGAAAATAATCGCCAGTCTGATTAAGAATATATTTTTAATCACAAAAATTGCCGATATTTCCATTGCGCACCTTAACTGTACTGCTTCTAAGATTTATGCTGAAATTTAGAAACAGATTTTATTAATATTAACATTTATATCAAAAAATTATATTAAAAAAATTTGTCTCACGAGTGAAATAAATTCCATATTCATCTACAAACATTGTATTTTCTGTTTATTACATTTTCTTTGATTTTCCCTTTGCCTCTGCTATCTCTTAGGCTTGACGTCATAGTTGAGCGGTTGAGACGTCATAGTTGTGAGATTGAAAACATCACAGAACATGGATTTTAGCAACATTTTTGGGAAGAAATTTGCAGTTTTAGCTCTATCAAGATTGTTCGTTACTCTCTCTATCTTATGACAGGCCAGAAATTATTTTTTACTTACTTTGATATCCTTTCACACTGTGAGGGAATATCATTTTGGTATCCTATCACACTGTGAGAGAATATCACTTTTATTCAATAAATAAATTACAGTATTTTACTGTTGAAAAATGTAACAAACGTATATCTGATATAAATCTATTAATATATCCCGGTGACATAAAACAGTGCATGCGACATTGCAGGCGCGGATTTTATTTTCTACAACATTATTATAAGTAGCCTTTTAAGGAACATTTGCTTTAGTGAAAACACAGCAAATACTAGTATTTGAGACTTCTCTCTCCCTCTCAAATCCAAAGAAGGGTGTTGAAACCCCCACAATCCCCCTCTAGATTCACCATTTCTTCTCTTTCAGTTTCTTTGTTTTTGTTGTTGAGATTTTGCGGGAAAATGCTTGGCACAATGTGAAACGCGCTTTATCCTCGTCTACTGGAGCTAATTAAAATCTCGTAATAGTCTGTCTAATAAGGAAACTAAAAGTTTGTCATATTTTTCAAAATTTCCAATAGGAATTACATGTGTGTTTGTGTGTGTGTGTGTGTGTGTGTGTGTGTGTGTGTGTGTGTGTGTGTGTGTGTACGTCAATTTAACACAAATACAATAAATCCTGTTTAAATAGAGAAAGTACAGAAATTTTGATTAGATATAACTCGGTCTTTGCTTTAGATAATACCCAACACGTGTGCCAATATTCTCCGCACTTCAGAGTTCGTCAATCAGGATTCGATCAGATAAAACAATTACCCCATCATTTATTAAATTTTTCATTATAATTATTATACGTTTTTGTTAAACATTTAGACACTCTTTATTAATATTCTATATGAATGTTAAATACGTCTTTTCTTTTTAACTCCGCAGAAACGCACGACCACTTCAAACTTTCATATCAAACAAGTAGAGCTTTTTCAAAAAAGCTTACCGTCTCTAGCAACAACCTTAAAAAGTAAACTGACCTAAAGCTATCAGGCCGTATAATTCTTGAAAAATTCTTGGCTTTGTATTCCTTTATTAGTTTTTTTTTTCTTACATAACCCTACTAACCGAAAAGTTAACAGATGCTCGACTGTCTCCGTAAACTTCGACTCTGCTGCCGAGATCATTCGGCAAGCCTCAGCTGACCCCGTCATCTTTGTGACATGTAGATGAGATACGAATCGGTCGAGGTGTTGCCGAGTGCTGCCGAAATTAGAAACACAGTGAAAAACAAAGGGAAAATGAATACCTACAAGCTGTAAAGCTTGCATGCAATAAAGATCAATTCTATTAACAATGAAAATATAGAGACGTTTTTTGGTAATTGATATAAAAAAAACTAGCATGTTATTTCGAATGAATTACTGCAAATTTCTACTCTTTGTTTTGTCATATTTTTTTTTTTACGTTTTTTTTAATTCCTGTCAATTTTTGGAAGCCCTCACCCCCTTTACTTTGAAAAATGTTGCTATTGACCCGACTTCTATGCAACCTACATATTTTCCGTTTCCATCCAAATTTATATCTGCTATGCAGGATCCTAATAATGTTTCCATTTAAAGTGTTCCCAAGCGAGGAACTGTTTATCGCCACCGAAAAAAAACTATTCAAAATTAAATGCCCATTGACATACGTACACCTCTGCTAGATTTTGCAAACGAGATAACACGCGGAAAGAAATGATCAAAACTCCAGAATTTTGCGTTTTCTTTTCACTACCAGTATAAAATAACACAAAATAATTCAAATTGACATCATTCTTCTTGTTTGTGCTATGATAATATGTTATGAATAATTTTGAGGTATAGCAATCAGTGAGAATTTAGGTCACCAATTGAGAGACACTAATTATGCACAGTAAAGGATGCCATGCCCTACTGAAAGTCCAAGGTCAACAGAGATTTGTACTACTGAAGTACACAATCTGTTCCGATTTTCTTTTCGTATATTGTCCCAGGGTGTAACCTTATTTATTTTCATACCTTAATCGACAGAGAGCGCACTGTAGGCCTATGTACTTCGATAAGGCATAGAATTACTCCAGCATGCTAGAGGTTCACGGCGAGATACATTTGACTTGGAGCCGCGTAACCTCTAGCATCCATTGTAAAAATTCTCGCCGCTGAAACCCCAAGTGAAAATAAATTGTTTAATTAAAAATTCAGGCTTTAAACATCAACGAATGACACGAAGCAATAGAATACTCAGTATTTGCGATAAAACATACACATAAAACAATGTTAATCTCTGTATTAGCGATGAATCCATTATTTTTAAAATCGAAACAGAAATCAAAACAAGTCGTCTGTTTGAAATTCTGGAATGGAAAGCAGAAAATTTGACGAAACGAAACTAGTCTTCCGCTATGAAATAACTGAAATTTTCGTTTTCTGACTAGCAATCCGCAAAATTAACATGAAGTTAAATCGAAAGTAATTCCCGTGACAAATTGAAAAATGAATGATGAAATGTTTGGAGATAACGAACAGTATTCAAGCTCAAAATTCCATTAAACAATACAAATTTTGGAGCAGAGCACACACGGACCTCTAAAACATCAGAGATGGGATCAAGTGCCATGGAGGAATGAGCCATCCCCTGCAGACCGGTCACACCCGCCGTGTGCAACTTGTCATGATCGGGTAATAACGGAAAAATTTGTCGACAATAGTGTTGTGAATAATGCCCTAACAATTAGTATTAGCATTTGACTTAATGATAAATTCTTTAATGAACAATGATGCATACTGAATAAAATGGATTTTAAGATTTCTGGTGACTTTTATACCTCTTGCACGCACGTAGGTACTTGTTTACAGTAGGTACATGTTTACAGTTTATTTCACGCATAATATGTTCTGCCCAAAATCTCAGGCGGAACGAGCTCGTTAGAAAATGGTCTTCGGATGTAAGAGTCCGAGGTATATAAAGAGCGTAGGGACGTTAACCGAGGATCTTACTTGAACATGTAGGTATAGAAGGAGTACATGTGTTTATAGGTGCCTAGTTGTCCAAGTGATCGATGTTTATATTTTTTTAACATAAAAGTTTTATATACATATTATATAGTCGTATGTATTTAAAACACCGCCATTCTGGTCGATTTTATAATAAGGACGTGCTTGTGACCATAATCAACACAATTTGCGGATTGTAGAATACCACAAACAGAATGAAGAGATCGTGGAGAGATTGTCAGGTAGGAAAACAGAAATTTATAAGTGGGTATCCTTATGAAAAGTGAATTTCTTTGTGCTTTCTATATTAATATTTCTTCACTTAGAGCAGTTATGTTAGTTTAAGAGTTGTTGTAAAATGTGCTTTATAAATAAAAAATTAATTTCATTACATCATGTATTGGTAACGATCCTCTGATAAAACTAATGTCCAAATAACTGTATCTCACTTCCATTCTCAATGACCGTGTAGTGTAGGACAGCGCCGCAAGAATTCCTTCGGCATCGAAAGCAAGTTTTTTGACTTGCCTAGATAGCCGAGCGGTCTAGCGCGCTGTTCCTGTACTGCTAGGAGACAGATACCGTAGGTCGAGAGTTCAACCCCGGGCTGGGGCGCAAGTGGTTATCCTTATAAAAAGTGAATTTCTTTGTGCTTTCTATATATATATATATATATATATATATATATATATATATATATATATATATATATATATAGACCCTGAAACGTGCTACTACCCTAAAAAGCATGTAACTTTCGTGCGTTTTTTGTATAAACCGTGCAGCGTTTCGTGCAAACCGTGTAGCCTTTCGTGTAAACCTTGCAACCTTTCGTGTAAGCTCCAAAGCGTTTAGTGCAAACCGTGTAGCGAGTAGCGTGTGAGAAAGGTGCGACTTTCGTGTAAGAACCGTGTGAGAAACGTGCGACTTTCTTGCACGAATCATGTCAGAAACGTGTAGGATTCATTCAGAAGTCATTTCATTTTAAATATGACTAGCGATTGGTAAGGATGTCAAATAGTGCTCCTTATACCTCATATTATTTGGATATATTATTCTGGATGCATTTTGAGAGTGAAAATAAAAAAATACAAGAGAAACAAAATAAAATTACACGGTAATGTATATTTAGTTTGTTTTTCTTCTTTTCTAAAAATAAAGATACACCATGTCAGATTTACAGATACACCAGTAAAATCTCGGTAATCCCCTCTCCTCGCCCCCGACAAAAAAAAATGCATAATCATCCTCTTACCTGCAATGTACTTATTAACTTTGCATATTATAGAGGGAGCCTAATCGAATAAAATAAATTTATTGCTTAATCATAAACAAGAAAATCAATCCCAAACCGTTTACGGAAATAAATACAATATAAAAATTTATTACAATTAATAATTGATCATGAGGTTATATTTCAATAATAAACGAGTTTTAGTATAAAACTTGAATCGTAAGAACATTTAATGCTTTAAGAAATTATGAGTGACAAATATAAAATTAATGGGTTTTTTTTTCTTCTAGTGTATAATTTAGGCATGTGAGAAAAGGATTGTACACTGAAAATTACGAGCATTTCACTTTTAAACAAGCGGATTACAAACAGAACGGCAAGCATAAATTAATTACTACTAAACTTTGAATATTTTTATGTGAAAGATTGCACTAAGATAATCTGACTTGACTAAATCAGTGATACAATATGACGTCATAATAAGCAAGATGACGTCAAGTTAAGAGATATACTTTAACTCCTGAAAATGAATAGAAACTTGCAAATATTAACAAAAATAAAATGTTTTTATTTTGTTATGCTGTATCTGTCACCTGAATTAAAATCTCCGACCGATGACGTCATAACTGTTCAACAAGTAACTTGAGAATTGATCATGCTGTGTAACGAGAATTTGGCTAAGACGGTATGTTGAACGCAGGTACGTTAAGGCTTCCCAGAGAATATCGCAGTGTACTCTGTGCCTTCACTTTTCTGAAGTACAAATGTATGACGTCATAACTGAAAATGACGTCAAGTCACTGCAAACTTGAGCTGTTTGGATGGGGAGAGTGTCATAAACTTTACATCTTATTGTAATCTGCATATAAAGTGTCAGAGAACTAGTGTAAAATAAACGTGTTTTTATCTCCTTTTTTTGAAAAAAATCTTATATATCCGAATATTTTAGATAACTTTTCTTTATTACTTTGCTTATCATTATTGTTCAAAATATATACGAAAATATATGTTTGACATTTACCCTTTTTTATACCTGTGGATAGAAGTAGAATTTATAATATGTGTATAAAAGAGCCTGGCGCAGGTGATTAATGAGGATTTATTTGAGATCTTTTGTGCAAATGTGCAAGAAGAGTTTCTCCTCTAATTGGATCTTGCTTTGGTAAAATGTGTGATGGCTTTGTTTTAATATAGATGACGATATTGAGTGGAAAATACTCTCAAATTTGTCGGTAAGTTGAATTTATTGTGAAATATTTTGTACCAGAGTAATAGTATAACTTTTCCCAAGCACATTTCGGATTCAGAAGGATGTGAAGAGTTTATTTATGTGACAAAATGTTGATAATAATTGTGTTAATCAGCTGCACCGAAGCGATTTATGTGAAACACTTCAAATAAGTAGAAATGACCGTCACGTGATCAACGAGGTCATGTGATATCGTAACATACGTTTATATATAGCCTAGAGAACTCTCCATATACATCGACTTAAGTACATAACTTACAAATAAAAATCAAAATCGACCTTGCAATGCAGTGTTATGTTTTGAACGCATTTAAAGCTTCGGGAAGTCTTAACATTACTGCGAAAGATACATAAAAGGGGGTCTAGAAGGAAATACCGTGAATATTGTGTGCGATTCATGTAAAGTTAAAGTTTGTTAAACAGGTATACTAATTTATTTTCATCGATTATATCTTCTATTGAAAACAGTCAGCTATTTACGTATCCTGGTCGGCCTTTCCTCTGTCATTCGTGACAACAATAATGCAAAAGAACAACACTAAGCTGGAAACTTAAGAACATAAGATTTGTACATATCGAAAGCTTGTGTTCTATAATACTTTGAAAGTGCTGCTAGAATCGTGAGGTAAACATGGTATGAAAAAATGCCTCGGGTTATACATGTATGTATATAATACAAAATATCAGGGTAAGGTTTCGTGCGAATATGTGGTATAATTATTTTCCCGGCCGGACAGTGGGATTCTAGCAGCACTTTTAAGACATAAGAGAAGTTTTTCAACTATATTATTTACTCAAAGAAATTATTAAACCCCGAGGTAGTATTGTTCTGTTAACCTCTTTATTAAGAAAAAATTTTTGCTATAAACAGCAGTCACGTGATGACATCGTGGTGGTGCACTACTTGGCCTCAGACACTCTGTGTCTTTATGTAATAGATAATAATAGTTTGCGTTTTACCGACGACTTTGATATATAATCAATCTTAATTTTCTTAAAAAAGTCTAATTTTCCCGAGAAATGATTTATATGCTTCCTTAACATACCCGCGATGCAGTCAGACATGTGTATGGTTGTGTATATTGTTGTGTACATGTAAATAAATTATCGTAGAAGAGAATGGTAATAAACAGGTTGCCAGTACATTTTCTTTGAAAGGATAAATATGATTGCGATTCTGAGGAGGGGGTACTCCATGTTATTCGGAGTTATATACATTGTTATAATTTGGGTTTAAAATATTAGAGAAACAAGTGCCTATGCTATTATTCAATATGCATTCATCAAAGAAATTTATGAAATATATAGTAATGAAATATGTGGAGATAACGAACAGTATTCGAGCTCAAAATTAAAGTCCATTAAACATTACAAGATAGGAGCAGAGCAAACACGGGCCTCTAAGACATCAAAGGTGGGATCAGGTGCCACGGAGGAGTGAGCATCCCCTGCCGTCCGGTCACACCCGCCGTGTGCTCCTTGTCATGACCGGAGAATAACGGAAAAATCCGTCGACAATTCAGTGTGTAAATAATGGCCTAATTATTCTACGATGTACAGCATACTTACATCTGGTGAATATTTATCGATTTTGCAACTACATGTAATTATATAATACTGTATATTTTCGGAATCATTTCATACTAATGTATAATTTCTGGAAAACTGAAGAATAAGTTTTAGTAGGGAATGGGGGCTTTACATACATGTATATGTATGATTACAAACCATGAAAATTGAGAATGTACATTTTTGGGGTTAGTTAAAATATCCTACGTCCCGTTTTTTCATGTTAAAATTCTGGATCCACCTATGAAAAGAGGTTACCGGTAATAAATACTAGCAAATATACGAGAAGAAGTCATAAAAATGTGTTTCAGAGAAGGATAATACGATTAACAAGATTAATATGTTAACTAAACATGTTTCTGGACAGGGATGGAGGGACTCCAATTTACCTCTGACCTCCGCCAATGACGAAGCCTGCAGACTGTTCGATACCGCCATTACTCAGGTACTCGTTCACTTTTTGACATCCTCAGCCATAAAATGTAATATGATGGTCATTTATATTAACCATGATGGTTTTACCCTCATAAGCGTTTCAAAATGACATTATTCTTTCAAAATAACATACATCTACATGTACTTTATTAATTTTACGTGTAGATTATTTATTAATTGTTTTTTGATCGTTTTGATCGTATGATTACATGAATATTACTACAATGTGTATAATTATGTATTGCACGTCTTTATTACATAGGTGACGTCCATGTATGCAGACGCCGAGATGGGAGGCATTGGTAACACGTTTAAAAAGATGTTGGAAGCCGATCCTAATTTCGGTACGACCTTTATTAAGTCTACAAAACATCGTTGTTACAGTATAATTACTGCAAATATCAGCATTTTTTTTTATTTGTCATAAAAATTGTCTTGATAGGATAGTTTCTTCTAACATTCATTTTATCAACCCCATTGATGGTTTATGAAGGTTTTGAGTACTGTGAACGAACTGCTCTAAATGGAAGTTTCCCGATACAGTCATTCATTTCAACTTAATCATTCTAATACAATTTGTGTTTCATTCTTAATCAGTTATGGGTCAGGTGTTGGTAAATTCTATGAAATATGGGGAATCCAAGAGCGATACAGAGGATGTAAGGAAAGCCGTAGTCGACATTTCAAATCAGGCTATACAACAAGAAGTAACGGAAAGAGAAAGTAAATACGTGGCAGCATTGAAACAAGTGGCGGAAGGGTACAAGATTAATATTTTATTGTGCAATTTCAGATTTACTTCTTTTATAATAGAATTTGCAATATGTTGATAAAAGAATAATAAATGAGGCACATGCTTTGTAATAGTACTACAAAGGCTGTCTTAAACTTATTTTTTTTTCTCATATATACAATATTAACATGATTAATTCTTTACATTTTGCGCGTAGAATTAACTTTGGGAACAGATAAAAGAGATACAGATAGGACTTTTCTTTCTTATTGTAGGAACATTCTACAAGCTGCCGCTACAAACAGGAGCATTTTAAATGATTCACCAACCGACTTACTAGCATGCCTGCTGGCTTTCGTTAAATATTACGAACTAGGAATGTCTAAGGAGATACTAGAAATGATGTCATTCGTGTCGAAGGCGTACCAGCCGGAGACTCCGGGATACAGGTAAGTTTATAGTTCAACTTGACTTAGTCAAATCTGTAATTTTTTAAAAACATTTCTGTTTCCCGAATTTGAAAATAAAACATATTAAATTACAGTGTATGAAGTCATTGCAAGTGTATAAGGAATCTACAGGAAGTCCACTCTTTCTTTAAAGAAAAGCAATTTCTGTAAAAGAAAAGTTGCTAGGTTCGCAAGGAGGGAGTTTAAAAAGTTGGAAGGAAGAGTTCTTCTTAAACTCCTTTAATACATATGTTTTGGTCGAACATTGTAATCAGTCGTTCTTTATATCTTTTAGCTCATCTGAGCCGGAGGCTCAAGTGAGCTTTTCTGATCAAAATTTATCGGTTGTCTTTCGTTGTCGTCATCGTAAACTTTTCACATATTCATCTTCTTCTCAAGAACCACTGAGCCAATTTCAACCAAACTTGGCATGTATCCTTGGGTGAAGGGGATACAAGTTTGTTCAAATGAAGGGCCACTCCCTCTTACTAGGGGAGAAAATTCAAAAATAGTGAAGATTTGGTCATTTAAAAATCAATCTTCTTTTCAAGAACCACTGGGCCAAAAATGTTGAAACTTGTGTGAAACCTTCTTTACAGTAGATTCAAATTTGTTCAAATCATGATCCCGAGGGTTAGGTTGGGCCACAGTTTTACACAGGTATACACAGAAAAATATTTGAAAATCTTCTTCTCAAGAACAGCAAATTCATGTTTAGTCATATTTATATATTTGTAGATTCAAGTTTGTTCAAATCATGACCCCTCGGGGTAGGGTGAAGGGGATACAAGTGGGGCCACAATTGGTGATCACAGTTTAACATAGGAATATATAGGAAAAAATCTTGAAAATCTTTTTCTCAAGGACGGCAAAGTTTTGTGTAGTCATATTGATATGGAAGCATCCTCAGCTTGTGTGGATTTGTAAAACTTTGATCCCCCATTGTGACCGCACCCTACCCCTGGGGGCCACAATGGGGGACCATATTTATATTTAACCTTTCAATACTGAACTGATTTCTGCTTTGTCCTAGCCAAAGTGCTCAAAGTGTGGTCCATGGGCCTCTTGTTTTTCATAGTACTATTCTCGGATGGAAAGCCTATGCACATGAAGAAAACCTGCAGCTAGTAGAAGCTGAGCAGGACGTACACAAGGTGAATGATCTGCTTTTTTTCTTAGGATTGGCATATAAAAGCAAACACCTGAAATATTTTCAGCATTACATATATCTGCAATTACAAGTTAATTTCACCTATCATTTATGCAATCTTACAAATCATTCATTGTCCTGGGAACAGATAATGCTCCCCCCCCCCCCCCTTCAAAAAATATATGCAGCGATTGTTTACTTTTTTCTTCTTTTTCTGTCTCTTGCAACTACTTGTATTATTTAGCTGTAGAGATCCACATTAAATATAATGGTTCTTCCAACTAGCATCTCTTATGCACTTTCAAGATATCCTTTATAATGCCTTTACACATTTTAATAAACCATTCTTTCTCCAATATCTGTATTGATAATATTTCACTCGTGACTTTTACATTTCATTATGAAGATTTTCAGTTACAGTTAGGTGCTTGACAAGGTTCTATCGAACATGTAGTGAAATGTTGTACTCTACTTTGAGAGAAATTATTCCCGACCCGCTTGTTATTCATCTATGACAATTAATCACTAAAATGGTAGGAAATGATAGTTCAATTGAATGAAAGAATAATATAATTTTTTAAATAGATAATACAAAACTTACTCTTATAGATTTTAATGGTAAGGTAGACTTGTTAATAAAAATGAATAAAAACGAGACAAAAAACATTTATACATATATTTGTACATTTATTATTTGTTATTCAAAGATCAAGAGAGGCCAGTGATGCATGTATAGGGATTGTTCTGTGTTATATGTTATGGGTTATATGTGCCCTATATGTTTAAAGTACAGTGAGCACTGGCACATACTTGCAAGTCAGTAGAGGTAGTGAAGTACTCTCTGAGTTGTTGTAGATTGCCAGACTAACTATTTTGCTGATCCCTAATTGTCCTATTTCTCTTTTGTGCAAAATTTCTTCATCTATCAATTTATTTATTATTTTGTTAAATGTTTTGTTATATAATTATTCCAGAGTTTAGCTGTTTCTCCTGGCGAAGTTTTTGCAATCCACACGATGGCTCACATCCATCTAGAAAAAGGCATGCTAGATGATGGTCTGGCCTTCCTTCAGAGTAAAGCCAAATACTGGGAGGTCAGGAAGTGATTGAGAAATAAACACATGTGATAAAATTTATAAGAACTGAAATAAATGATTTGATAATTTTTTTCAAAATTGCTTTGAATCATATATGCGTATTAAATTTTGTTTATCATTCTTTTTAGTCATCAAGTTTGGCGTGTCACATAGCTTGGCATGAAGCTCTGTTTTATGTAGAAAAGGTATGGGTTTTAATACTTTGAATCATTCAGCTAAAGTAGACACAGGTTTGCATAACACCATATACATGTAACATTGCTTCACAACCAGTATTTGTTACACAATCAAGAACAAGCCAAGCTCCGAAAGCATAAACTGAGAACAGACGTAAGTAAATTCTGTATAACTTTTGAAATGGTGAAGAAAATTAAACAAAATTTTCATTGAGTGTTTGTATTTGAATATTGACAAAATTGCAACTTTTCAAGAATGTTTGTTGAACTAAAATCAAGATATTAAAAAACTGAATTTTGACTTAAGTCTGTTCTCAGTTTATGGTCTTGGGGCCAGATGATTGATATGGATGATAATTGAATATAAAATCATATTCCACTTCTTTTTGATTTGATAAATTTGTGCAATTATTAAGCTACTTAAATTTTATGTTTAGATTTGCAATTGAAAATTTTAATAATAATACAGTTGTATCATTATTAATATTTGACCCAAAACAATGGCATCAAATCAAAGTAATTACATCAGAATTCATACATTCTAGGGACAATTTGATGATGCAGTCACGACTTTTGATGAAAAGGTAATAAACCAAACGTTTGACAGTTTTGATGAAAAGGTAATAAACCAAATATTTGACAGTTTTGAAGAAAAGGTAATAAACCAAACGTTTGACAGTCTGTAATGATTATTCAATTTAATTTCTGTATGAGAAGTAGTAATTTACCGTATTTTCCCCCTTTGCACTACTGACGTTGAGAGCTGATGACTTCAACATAAGAATTCAGTATCCAGGTTACATTAAAAACTATAATAATTTTCTTGATTTTTACAGATAATAACACGACTTGCAAATCCAGGGAATTTTAACGATGCTTCTTCTTTATTGTACCGTTTGTCTTTTGAAGGTAGGGAATAATGATAAAAGAACAAAGATTTGTTTGTCTTGGAGGGAATGCTGTTGATTTAAAAAAAAAAAAAAGGATAGTTAAAATCATGAGTCCAAAGTCTCATTTTAATGTATTTTCATGTTTGAAATTCTTGGTAAAATAGATTTAAAATAATTTATTTGCATATTCATTACAAATGTATTGAGATGCCTAGAATAATGGAAATGAAATGCGAGTATTAGTGAAAAAATATAAGAACAGAAATAAAGACCATGCTCCTAGTTCATTAGGATGTACTAAAACTTGAATGGATGAACGTAGTAAGTAAATTGAGATACAAGATTGTAATCATTGCATTGTTTTATAGATATCCATGTTCCAGAAAGATGGAAAAGCGTACTTCAACATGTAGATATGTTAGCTGGGCAGTACATCTGGATGTATCTGGATGCTCACATTTTACTGTGTTTACATAGAAATGGAGAAAAAGAACGGGCACGTGCAATGTTGGAGGAGTTAAAGGAGTATGTCAAGTAAGTCAGGCAAATTTTATGATGAATTCTCATGGAATCCGTGGTTATTTTTTCAGGAGCTTAGACTTTTCTATTGCTTTTTGTTAATATTTGACTTTCGTGTTCGGAATCCAAACCATTTTTTGGCTGTAAAAAAGATATTTCATATATAATATATATATATATATATATATATATATATATATATATATATATATATATATATATATATATATATATATATATATATATATATATATATATATATAAACTGATTTACGCCCTAAATTTCCATTTCCATTTGATGTGCCTCCATATTTTCTTCCATACTTATTATACAGTACTTGCCAAGATATAATCTTAAAGCAGGAAAATTTATAAGTTCATAAAAGGTTTGAAGTAAATAGCTAGTATTTCAAAAACATTTTGCTGTAATGTAGAGAAAACTCTGCCACAAACGCTCAGGTGACACATGATGTTGGAATACCACTCTGTGCTGGGATAACGGCATATGAAGAGGGGGACCTAGAAACAGCTGTAAATTGTCTCAACTCTGTACGTGATTCACTTCATAGAATTGGAGGAAGCATTGCACAGGTATGCAAAGCACAAGGATCAAGGTCGAATTTTAATGGGGCTAAATTTCGATAAACATAAAAGATTGTCTCATACATGTATATGGTTGTGTAATCCTCTTTCTTATTTTAGTTAGAAGGCAACAAAGACTTGCAACCTATAAATATATATTGTGTTATATTGCCATTTTCAGATAAACTGCATTTTAGCATGCATTGACCCCTATATAACTAGCATTTTTTAAAAAAAAAAGTTTATAGGATTTTATTTCTTTTTTTTAATATTGATTTATTTTCTGATCAGCATATTGTGAGCACTACGGATACTTTTTAAGAATAAGTTATAAAAGATTTGCGTAATACTAGTGAAACACAATATTAACATGACACGAATTATACGGTAGTATTAATCTTTTCTAGAGGGACACATTCATACAACTTTTGTTGCATTCAGCGATAAAATCCCCTAACTCTAAGTACAGCCCCCTTGCTGGAACACTTCTAATGGAAAGGAAAGCCAGGCGTGCCGAGGATCCACTAGGGGATCGCCTCATGCTTCACGGAGGTGAAAGATACAATTTTGTTTCCTAGATGTATTCCTCAATGTATTCATACTTTAAGTATTAAATGATGTCAAACATCTACGCGGTGTTGCTTAGCCACTTTGTTGTATTTCTTCATTTATTCTGTGTGTTACCTTGCAAAGTGTAGGTACGATTTTGACGAATGCATTCCCTCCTGTAGGAATTGAAAATCTAAACTTAAAAAAATAAAAATTTCAAGCCTTAATCTCATTGAAAGAATATTTATTTTCCTCTCAAGAATATTGTAAATATTATTTGTTTTCTAGCCCCTAGTTATTTTGTATGATTACATAGTCATCGTACATTTGAATTGATTAAGGAACATGTCAGGTATAGCACCCTTTTTATACGCTGGAGGGGGCAGGACCCAGAAAGATAATTTAAAAATTACCATAAAATCTTTGTCAAGTAAAATATGAAATACATTAACATTGCAGGATTTGGCTTTACTTCAACAAAAAGTTGATCGGGGAGACGGCTTTTTCATTGAACATACTTGTACTAAATTGTAACTAAATTAACAGTAAAGGGTTATGTTCGAAAAAAAAAAAAACACTCACCCTGATACTACGTGGTTTTTAGGGCTCATTCCTGTATGATAGAACTTGCATTAAAACTAAGACAGACAGACCTTAAAATTGCAACCTTGATGAAGAAAAAAAATCCAATTAAAATGTCTAATTCATCATCGAATTCTACTACATAACTATTTACATGAAATCATTGAGTCTATTGCTGACTGATGTTTTTCATTCTAATTGTTAGGCCATTATTTACACACTGAATTGTCGACGGATTTTCCGTTATTCCTGATCATGACAAGGTGACCGGTCGGCAGGGGATGCTCACTCCTCCATGGCACCTGATCCCACCTCTGATGTTTTGGAGGTCCTTGTTTGCTCTGCACCTATTTTGTAATTATTAATGGACTTTGAGTTTGAATGCTGTTCGTTATCTCCATATATTCATCTGGGTAATAGAGAAGTCGCTGGACCTCGAATGTTGCTTCCTTAAAACCAAGATTATTTATTTCCACAGAAGTAACATACTGAAAATTCTTTTAAGGGATTCGTAACAAAAATCTTTATAACCGAGATTTCTTTATAAGTGTGTTTCTAATAACAGCGTTTTAATATATTTGATTCTTTTTACTCAGACTGTTTCTTGTTTGATACTTTGTTTAAACGTGAATCTTTACAGGGCTTTCCATAATTTATTTCAAAAAAGTAGATTATTAACTTTTTAAAATCTTAAAATTTTCTGTGAAATATATTTGAGATAATTCAGTTTACCTTACAAGAGAAAGAAAAACAATTATATTAATGATATGTACTCTCATTTTCGTCTGAAAATTTTCTTCTTTCTAGTGATATGCAATACCACGATTACATGACTGTATTTTTTGTACTGAATAGTCGACGGGATAGTTTTATGTCCAATTTTAATCAGTACGATTGACAAATTTTTAATTGTGGTATTGTATATCACAAGAAATTTTTTTATAATTTTTTTTTGTTTCGTTGTTGTTTTAACGTTCCTTCGAGAACTTTTCACTCATAGTGAGATACCAGCACTTGTCGGTGGAGAGCTGCAAATTTAAACCTGTCGTCGACATTCACAGCCATCGAGCAGTGAGGGATTTTTTTTTCGAGCCAGTACCTACAGCTACACTTGACCTAAGTTAATACGGTCTCGTCCGAAGGGGCGGTCACCACGTCGCACAGTGTATTCGAACCAGCGACGAAAGGATACATAATTAATCCGAGACTCTAGAGAAAACGCGGACGACCATATTATAAGCATAAGATGCAAGTAATTTCATGTGCGGATGAGCAGGTAAACTATATAAATTCTTTAACAAATTTTCCTTTGACATTGTATAAGTACAATATTAGCAAAGTAAAGGACGTTTAATGGTCACAAAGGAAAAATTCTAGAGAGATAATTAAAACGAACAAGAATTAAAATCACAGAAGATCATCAAAACAGAATGAATAACTATAACAAAAATAAAAAGAAATTAAGAATTAAAATTTCAACAACAAAATCAATCAAACAAAATGATACAGTGCTCTATAACAGATACACATGTGCAATACTTCAAAATCTATTTACATACAAATCGTGTAAAAGCCACACAAAAAGCAGGACATTTTAAGTTATGTCAGCATATTTACAATAAATTTAAAATGGAGCAAAAGTTCTTTTTTTAATTTTCAAATGTAAAATTTGCATCATTTCATAAAAATGTCAGAAGAATTTGTGTTTCTCTTGAGATCTTTTTTAATCCTCCTTTGCAAAATGTAACCATAAATTCAGAAAATCCATTGATGAATGGAATCGATAAAAAATCGTCAAAGGAAAAATAATCTTCAATATCACATTCCACGACGGTCCAGTGTAATATTTTTGCTGTAGGTAGGAGAAGATCGGTTCGCGAATTTCTGCAATACTTCCATAGGTCCACAATCCAAAGTTCATGACTGCAAGAGCGAGGCAGCTATGTTTAAGGCTGGTCTTCGCATGACAGGTACATCCACTGTCGCTGTTAGGACCTCTTTTGGTCTCGTTTGTTACATCATATCTGTGGATGGCTAAAAGAAACCAAGTTTGTAGAAAAGCAAGGATAAGTCCTAGGATGTTTTGTCCAAAAGCAATACTTTTGTATGCTACAGATATAGAATCCAGCTCCAAAACGGCAATGGAATTGAGAAGGTGGTACAAATTGTTTCCGAAAGCAGTTACCAATAATATGAAAGAACTCATGTGTAAATGGTGATCTTTAGACTTTCGAAGCTTGGACCTAGACTTTAGAATCACACACACTATGAGAAGAGCTATCATGGCTGTAAATAAAATAGCAATGAGAATGACATAAAATAAGAATTCTATAGGAATTCCTTTTGTTTCATCAATTTTTGTGCATTGCAAAACAACATACATGGAGAATCCAAATACACTTGCTTCGTAGATAATCAAGCAAACTATTATCAAGCAAGTCATTTTCCAACTCCTTTGGTATTTCACATCTTCTAACGCAGTCGGAAATAGAAATCCAATAGCCATCATTGTATACTCAATAGTTACTGGAGCAAATATGATTTCAGCAATTTCATGAATGCTTTCGAAGCATTGTTCATTTGTAGAATTGTATAACGTGGCGTTTGAAGTTGATTCATACTTGTTTTCAAATATTTCGGAAGACTCAAACAAGTAAGCGTTCATCCAGCTGCAGGCATTGGTTACAATTATAATCATTCGAAGAACCTTTGCTCCATTTGATATTTTCTTGTCGTAATATTGCAGAAATATAAGAACAATTACTTGAATCCAAATGAATGCAATGCAAACGACTGAATATGATGAGAGAAGGCGTTGGTCAACTTGGTCGGTATGTAAATGTTCTGCGTAAGTAAAGGTGTTAAATGTATATCCACAAGCAAAAAGAATAAATAATACGAACTGAATGACCATTCCTGCGTTTGTTTTAAGAAAATGCGTTTTCTTCATCTCTTTCCAGAAGTTCGAGATTTTCTGAAAATATGTTTGTTGAGTTTTCACAGTTAGTGCATTTAATAACAGTGATATAAAGAAGGCCACAACAGCAACTGCTCCAAAGGAGAAATAAACAACCATTGTGGCAACAACTTCAACCTTACTATGGAAGGCAATATTTGACCACTCGACCCCAAAGATGACGAAAGGAATGGCAACAAACCATATACTGACAGATATCAGAAGAGGTCCAGTTCCTGAATAATAAAATAGATCAATTTGGTAAAATTTTACTGAAATGTATTATTTGTTTAAAGCACGATCAATCATTTTCATTGAAACTGTAACTCTTTAACTTTGATTATTTATAATTTCACTTTTTGAAAAAAAAATTCACCTTCTTGAAATGAACATTGTACCTTAACACATATTTTCTTATCTTTCTCATAATTGGAACACAATTGTTGATGTACAAATTTCATAATAGTAAAGAAAAGCGTTAAGGGTCTCAGATACGTTTAAGTCCTATATACAAAAGGAATTGTTCTGAATACTATATAACATGGCAATGCTTAAGACCGTGTACTTAAGCAGATGCACAGAATCAAAAGCACATATGTTTGGCACATTTGAAGAATATCATTTCTTTCTGCCCTAAAAAAAAAAAATCAAATGCGTACTGCAAAGTGCAAACACGTCTTTTATCTTGCTTTTTCAACAAGAAACTATTTATGCATTACGAACTATTACGAATAGTAATATGAAGTACATATTATTACAAACTACAAATTGCAATATTGGGTATCATTAGATTGATTTTGTTTTTACTTTTTATCTAATCATATAACTAGAATGTGTAAATAAAGAAAATTACCGATTGAACGATCCTTGAATTCACTGTGGATGGTTTCTTCATCTTTTGACATACAATCTAAATAATGAATAAATATGGATTAATTTATTTAAATCTAGTTCTGCTTTATCGTACAAAGTAATTTTAAGAAAATATTCAAAATTAATATTTGAATACCAATGTACCAGAAAATGTTTTGCAAATTCAAGAAAATAAAACAGAATTGTTATTTTGAAGATTTCAATTAAGTAAAGCATGGAGTGCAAAACTGACTCTGATATCTGTTAATTAAGGTATGTCACTCGTCAGCTTTTAAGAAAAGTTCAGTCAGAACCTCTAACTTCAAAACCGTTTATTTTTATAACATATTTGAATTAAGCGATGCAAAGTCAACAACATTCAATTTAAAAACTGCTCAAAAAGTCATAAAGAAACAAGATTTATGGGTAACTTTTTCTTGTGACGGAAGGATAATTAGAAGAAAATTCTTTAAATCTACGCATTTGTTTGATTTAATATCTTGGAACTTTTGCCCCGCATATTTTTACTCATAGAATATTTTCCGTTATTATATATTTGCATTATTATTTATAGATCAATATTATTCAAACTATTTTACGTAAAATAAGATTATCTTTATTGGCATAATTACATCTGATTAAATATGATAAAGGTTAAAGTGATTAGCCTAAGAGTTAGAATTTAAGTACAAAAAGGTCAAGTTACATATAATTGTACCGTTGCTCAGTAGAATGCGCAATGACCCCCCCCCAATTTTCTTTTGCGATTTAAAGTCATGCTATATGAGTCTAAAATGTACTTCTCAAAATACCCTTGAAATAATTAATTTCATGAGTTATACACGAACATACACTAGTCTTTTTTCACATGAAAAGTGTTCAATTACAACTGAATGCATGAATGAACAGATATGATTGCATGCAAAAAATAAATAATAATTAATAATAATTCAAAAAAAAAAAAAAACAATTCTTGGTGATATATGTTAACAATTCTAAGATCTGTTTTGTTGCATATGCAGTAAAATTAAGATAAATTTACTTTTACATCCAAAGACAAAACCTCTTACTGCTAGAACGTCCCATGGGATTTAATCACTTCAAATTATTGTCCAGTGCTTAGAAGTTCCTTGATATTGTTTTAACACTTGTTTTCTACATCCCTACCTGTTTGCACGTTATTGTTTTTATTCGAATAAGTCCCTGTGGAAATGACGCCATCGATCTCAACATCAGACAAATGACTTGAAGACATACTTTTTCTTTTCTGTGACGACGTTTGGTTGTCTGGTTTAACTACGTTTTTTCCTCTTTCTATTAAGAGAATCCACTTACATATTTTATATAATTTCTCAATTTTTAAAAGGATTTATAATGCATATCTTTCTAGTTCAATGTGATAAGAGAAATAAGTATATTCTTACACTTGTACCCTTCCTAGCTATCTTCGTCATTATTCGTTTCAAACGAGTATAATAGTTGTATATATAACGGACCCTTCATAGATAAATTTTGCGGGATAAACATATCAATCTAATATTTAATCGGACTCAGCTTGTCGAAATCCATAATTACATATTTAATTCAATGCTCAACTTTTGTGCACTTGGGTCAAAACGTCTACTGTGAAAAGATAGTTATTGAAAAGATATTCCATATGTAACAACGGAATTACCTGTCACTTATTCACCGATTTTTGATGGAGCATTGTATACGCAAGGTTATGAAAATTATCTTAAGTAAGCAAATAAAGTATATAAAATCGGACACGAAAAACAGCTATAAAAGATATTTGCCTTTCATCAATAAACAATATTTATTTCAAATATTTGTCAAAGGAAGCATTTTTTCATAATGTAAATATTCTATTAAACGCGTGTGATATCAGGACTACTTCCCTTTACCTACCGAAAGGATTTCAACATTTAAATACTGTAATTTATTTTAATGGTTACAGTCCTTTTATTATAGAGTTCTACCGCACTAATTCTCAACAGATATTAATCAGTGACAGTTTCATTTTTATTTCCATTTTTAAGGAATGTGTACTTATTTCTTTCTCAATGTGTGGCCCATTTTGTATTCATTCTTTTATCCAAAACAACATCAACTATTGCTGATACGAATTTGAATGTAAAGAAAATTATGGAATTAGGATATGACTACAAATACATAGTTAACTATCGCACCATCACTCTATGTACACTCGATGACACGACAGAGTGATATCGTGATGACGATGATGCAATGGCACGGAAATGCAATGGTGCGTCTCTTCAACGTCATTGTGTTATTTCCATTATTTTCGCTTTATCGTGCCATCGCCATCGTATTATCGCATTTTCTTGTTACATCATATTTATCGCTCTATTGCATGATCGTCATCGCACTATTGAGTCATAGTCATTGACCTATTGCGTTATAGCGCCATCCACCCTTATGGTACAATGACAATGATAGTAAACTACGTGACTCTATAAAATTAATATAAATTCATCTCAACAACATATAAAACTTGAAATCACAAAAATATGCCCTTCAAATATGAATATTGATAAAAAATTCATGTATTTATCATTGAATGATACATGATCATAATTATGAAAAATAAATTACAGAAAAGGGCTTCATCTCTTGTTTAGAGGTATTTTTTTTTCTATATGATATGATTCATATACATATAAATTTTGGTGTAGGATTGATTTAATGATAAAAATCGTGATGAAATTTAGTAACAGCAATAATAAAGCAAGTTTTTTTTAAATATTTGATTACATTTACTTTGAGTATCATATCTCCTTAACAAGATTAAGAGGAAATTTAAAAGTATTTCAGTTTCAGCAAGCAGTAGACAGCAATTAAAGCTTGAGGGAAATAAATATATAATAAGCTAAATTTGTGAAACGTTGGTGCATCACTTTGAAACTTTGTGGTTGGATGTTTAAAATGTTTTTTGATATATATATATATATATATATATATATATATATATATATATATATATATATATATATATATATATATATATATATATATATATATATATATATATATATATATATATGATGTCAGAATAGCTTTGTAACTATATATATATATATATATATATATATATATGTATCAATATTAACGATACGAAGCTGGAAAGAATATGTTAATCATACTTATATCCATGAGAGTCTTTAATTTTCAAAGAACATTCACAATTACAAAAAGATATACATGAACATATTCACCTTTTTTCTGATCTGATGCAAAAGCTGATCGACCCTTTTTCATCATTAGGAACTTATTTATGAAAGTTTTTCTAATATTATGTTAAATAAGTTTGCCAACATGTACTTTGGGAACAGAGAGACAATCAAAAATAGCTGACAACATAACTTCTCGTACAATTCGTTGGCTGTGCTGAAATATAAAAGTGAATGAAATTGACAATGTACATTTATGTCGATACTTACTTGCAGAATCCATTACTAAGACACTATGCCTTTTCGAAGCTATGATACAGAATTTTCAAACCTCATTCCGTTTATATCTTTAAAAGTTATTGATGTTTGCTTTCCATATCATATGTAAAGAAGGGCAAGAAAAGGTGCAAATATTGCGTGACTTAGTGCAGAATATGCTTCGTGTACTTATTCCGATTTTGCATTAGAATAAACATTAAAATAAAATGTTTAATTACTTCTTATTCCATCGGCATAATTTTTAGTTGTTTTTTATTTATTTTTTTTTTTTTTCAATATTTTACAACTACATGGATTTGATCAAATATTGTACTAGGTGAGGGACTTTTGTTCACTTGGCATTATTCTAACGTTCAAGGCCTTAAAAAAATAAATAATCACAAATAGTGTTCGCTCTGAAATGCATGAGAATGTATTTTAATCATAGTAATCTTTTATGTGAATCATTGCTTATTTTCGTATCATGAATATTTTTTACAGCAAAGTAAAATAGGTATTTTTCGGCATAAAAGAAAAATGGTGTAAAATTAAACCTTGAGCAAACACAATTAAAAAAAAAACTTTTTGGCATTTGCTTTTTGAATTTTTTCGTGCCTGGGTATTAAATGTATGTTTTAAAGACGCTTCCCCTTAATACCCGGTTGCTTTATTTCAGGATAAATCACAATTCAATTGAGATAAATATCTGACACACATTTGACAAGATATGAATTACATGCACGTTTAATGATGTTACATTTTACATGTGTTAGTTGCAAATAGTTGCTAAAATGGTTGTTGGATTTTATAATAAAATAATGAAATAAAATTGTTACTTTTTTTATCATCTTATAATAGTTTTGTCAAGTCATCTCATCTGTTGTGTAAATTTAGGAAAATGAATACATAAGGTTTGGATATAATGTTCATTTCTTCGTACAATCAAGTAGATGGCGAAGAGTCTTATCGACTTTTATACCGCATGTATGGATGTTGCTTTAAACGTACGTTTTTACCTGTTTTTAAACGGTAGCTTGTGAATTTAATTAATTTTTCGACATCAGAGTAAAAGAGGCGTTAAAAATCCTCCTCCCACTGTGACAAACAAAAATAGGCATTTAAAAAGATCAAATATCAAAGGGAAGGGTTTTTTGTATTTTATAGGGAAATGAAGTCCAATAGTTTAAAGCCAAACATTTTCATTTATCAACATGGAATAAAAGCAGAAAAAAACAAAATTGCTAATTAAAAAAAAGAATTAAAAAGTACAGTAATGCATTTTCTTTGACATACCCGTAAGACTGTCTTTTCTAGCCATGTTGTCAAATTCATACTGCATTGAAAGCAATTTTTAGTAAATATTTACATTTTCAATGATTTTCTTTTTAAAATGTTCAAATGTGTGGACACATGTATGTTTATAAATAGACCGTGGTCCGAGTTAAAGCATTACTGGTGTTGCGTTAATGTAAAAATTTCATTAAAAAATATAATGTATAAACATTAATCTTAATTTACCATTATGTATATATTCTTACGAACTTTGTTAGAATATATCACATCACGGTAAATTAGGATTAATTCTGTGGTCTAATTAACCAGATAAATCGGATATATTTAGATTAATTCTGTGGTCTAATTAACCAGATAAATCGGATATATTTAGATTAATTCTGTGGTCTAATTTAACAGATAAATCTGATATATTTAGATTAATTCTGTGGTCTAATTTAACAGATAAATCTGATATATTTAGATTAATTCTGTGGTCTAATTTAACAGATAAATCGGATATATTTAGATTAATTCTGTGGTCTAATTAACCAGATAAATCGGATTTATTTAGATTAATTCTGTGGTCTAATTTAACAGATAAATCTGATTTATCTAAAACATCTCTGTAAAGATTAAACAATGTTTAATATAATTGAAAACGTTACTGTAACATTGCTAACTTTAATAATGCACCTTGTTTTCCCTTTTTTATTTTTTTTCAAACAGAACTACATAGATGTAATTCAACGTAAAGGAAAGATTACTCCTTAAGCCTTGCAAGTACTGTAAAGAGAATCAATACGTTTGAAAAAAATAATCTGAATAAACAGAAGCAAATTTTGAAATTTTATTTAATGACTTTAAAATGTTCATACAATATACGTTTTAACATGAAAATGTGTAAAATTCATACATGTTATTCTTTAGAAATAATATTATGCTAAAACTCTGAGCACAGAATATGATCGATAGGGAGTATCATTACATTTATAATGGAATCTACTAAAGGTTCATGCACTGCAAAACAGCTCACAAACACTGTTGTTTCCAAAAATTGAAATTTTCTAAACAAAATAAAAAAGTTACTTTCAACACCTAAAACTATAGATAGATATTATCATTATACATGTAATCCAGCTTTCCAACTAACAATATAACAATTCATTTTATATAATGGAATGAAATCGAAAATAATCTTTACATGTTCAAATTTATAGATACAGGTTTTTAAAAAAAATGATTATTGATAAAATTGTCATATATTCTCTTTTGTTTTTTAACGAAATATATGTATCACACAGATTGCAGTAACATTTTCCAGACATTACAGTCTTAAATAGATATCACGGAAATATCCACCCATTCCTTTTTTCTCCCCCTCCCTATCTCCCTTTTTGTGGATATATATCTACTCCTCATCTTGAAATCTCGAGTATACTGTACTTCCTAACACTGTAGCTTGTGATTCCTCGTAAGACGGTGGGTATCTTGACAATTTGAAGGCAGCTGATTGCATTGGAATTTGTTCCGATTGACCTGTATAAAATAATGAATTCAAACTTGTATTTCTTCAAATTAAAGATTATGATGACATAGTTCTGCCACCACTTGTCAAATAACTAACGACATTATCTCGACTTGCCAGATTTTTTGTCGATTTGTAAGACAGATCTCTTCGCCGATTTTTCATTTATTCAAGTTAAAAAATTCAACATGAAAACATAATCATTCCCAGTTTGTGTCATCCAATTGACAACATATTTCTCTTTCAAGTCGACATAAATACACAAGTCAACATAATTATCTGACAAGTTTACAACTTTTAAGACAAGTTGATATCATTAGTTGACAAGTCAACTTAACATCTGACAAGTCGACATCATTAACTAACAATTCGCTAAAACATCTGACATGTTGTCATGTCAGAAAATTATGTGGACTTGTCAGAAAATTATGACGACTTGTCAGATATTATGATGATAAGAAGATGTCAAAATAAGCTTTAATATCAAGATACCGAGTTCCTAGTCATGAGGATTAATTTCTGAAAAGTCGAAATAAATATTTGACAAGTTGACATAAAAGATCTGACATGTGGTTGTAGAAATATGGAAGAAACAACTAATGACTTAAATTCCATACATTTATATAATATTATGTAGCACTACAGGACAACTTTACATCTCAATGCAATGACACATCCCAATTTGCAATAATTCTTGGACGCAGTTGCTTTTTTTTTTAAATATTATTGATAAATGTAAAAGGATGACTGTGTTTTATATACCAAGTATCAAGATAATTAATGAACAGACTTAAGTCGAAATTTTAAATGTCTTCGTTTTTTTTTCTTGAAAATCAAACAAAATATTTATTATGTGTTATGTATTTGTTCTTCAAAATTGGACAAACTCCTTTTTTACACTCATATGTTAGTAATTGTGATATAAAAGCCAAGATATTAAAAATCAGACTTAAGTCTGTTCTCAGTTTATGGTCTTGAGGCCATGCAAGTATTGTTTGCACATTTTTTGTAGTTTGTCGGACTCAAACCTATCAACGAATATTTTTGTTATAGTATACATGAATACACTACGAAACTAAGGTAACACAGAGCTCACAAATGATACCCCATATGTGTATAATGGCAAAATCCATGTTTTGTTCTGGGAATGTCAAGAACATCTGTCTCGATCAAAATAGAAAATAAAAGATGCGCAATGCCTTTATGAAATAAAGATTCTAGGAAAGTCTCTCTCCTCTAAATTTTATTCATTGGTATGGGAGGAGTTGCTGATAAGAATAAGTAACCCCAATATTATAGAAACAATGACAGTGTCCAAAGTTTACTAAGGGAAACCGCAAATATCTGTCCGATCATAATACGTAATAAATATTCAGTTAAAGTCATCAAATTTTATTTAGTGGTATTGGAGGAGTTATAGATAAGAGATTGACAGATGGACGCATAACGGACACCCCCATTACCATAAACCTTCCGTTTTTCAGGCGGGGTATAATAGTTGGTTTTTTTTTTTTCATTTCGAAAGAAAAAAAAGGGGGATTGCGAAACTCAACGATATTCCTCGCATTCGAATGAAAGTTGATTTAAAATAATTGATAAATTATACAATTTGTGTCATCAGTGCACAGTACTTCACTGATGATTAACATATTTGTCATATCCATTAATTATATAAAATTCATAAAACTTTTGATTTCTTTAAGTTAAGCTAGGTTTACCATTTTGTATCATTAGTGAATGCCAATGAGCAACTCATCCACTAAATAAATGTTTTACGTATTAGACCATTTTCTCTTAAATATATTTTTTCAACAACTTTGTTCTAACTGTATCACCAGTGGTATGACATGGTGTCGATTAATAATAAATTTTCAAGTAGAAGTTACGTAATTATTAGTCAATCATCTGCTTCCTTAGTGATAAAATATTATCTTCAATGGTTATACATTCCTCTATTAAGGACGAATGATACCAAAAATGCCTATTTTGAATGTGAATGGTGCAAACATTAAATTTCTAAATTTTAAAGAAATTGTAAACTTTCTGTGATGTTCAAAATTTCTTCAATTCATTTGAAATACTTCATGAAATTTAAGTAGTTTGCCTAAGCAAACAGATACCAGATCTAGAACAAGAGACCTTACCGTTACTTATTATGGCAATCCTTGTAGCTGTAGACCCTGAATGAGGGGTGGGTCTCTTGAGGCAGAAATTTCTTACGATATATATCATAACTAGAACTAATATCGTCCCTCCTAAAAGCGTTCCAACGACAGCTCCTGCTACCTCATCACTGCTCCTGTAAATTCAAAATATTTAATTCAATTAATTATTCCAGATAAAGAGTACATCCAATCTTGCTATGCAAGATGAATTCAAATAATTTCATAAAATCAAGCTCGTCTAAACTGCTCGAGAAGCTATGAATGAAACTGAGCTTTCAACTAACTCAAAGACTGCTTGTGTAGGACAAACCGAGATTGCAAACAAGTAAATGAATGTCAGTACAATCTAGGCCTAGAAAACTTATGATTAGAGTCTACGCTCTCTACTTCATTGAAGTAGCTTTAATGTACCTGCATGTACATATGTATATACTAGCGCAAGGTCAAGCAACAATGTTTAAAACTTATTTAATAGTAGTCTCACTTATCCCTTACTTTAATATATGTGAGTTCTGTGTTACTGGGTGCATAAGAAAAACAATTGACGTTAACAACAATATAATATATGTAAATGTATTTGGCTGTTAAAGGTGATCGTGTGCAAGTTACTGCGTTTTTAAGGGATACATCCGTATAACATCCCCTTTATACTTATACGGGTTACCAATTTTTGTCGTCTTCATAAGCAACACAGCATTGGTAATCACAACATCGTGATTGGCAGTAAAATGTGTTCCCAGTAAGTCTGTTGAAGCAGAGATCACAACAAACACCTGAAATGTAAATATCAGACATCATTTAAATCTAATAGATGGAAAACATTCACCTGATGTTTTCATTGATATGGTTAAACCCGATTAGTTTTTAATATTCAACATCTTACATATATACCTGAACACTAAAGTTAGACATAAAATCACAAAATTTGGTGTATATTAATAATTCGTATATGTAACCAAAACATTTTAAAAAGTGAGGTTCAAAACAGAATTTACCTATTAAATATTTATGATTTAATTCTGTTTCTAATACTCTATTTGCTTGGATAGAAAAACTCGTTTATATCGTATAACCTATGTTGCCTATATCACAAGGACTTACATTGTACGTCAAAAATGTATTAATCCGCTTGACGTTACATTTAAAATCTGTACAATTAGAAGAAAATTTTGATGGGAAAATTATATTATTTTTACATTTAAGGACAGAAAATTAAATTATAAGGAATTCATTAAATATCTACTCAAGTAATACTATATAGCCGGGGTTGGGACATTTGATGTATTTTTTTTTATAAACCACTTCGCGTTTTATAAAGCGTAAACTGTCCCAACCCAGGGTTTAGAGTTTATCTTGGGTAGCTTTTAAATTCATTCCTTAATAATCTTATCAGTACCTCCATTCCCATGTTTAATTATTGTGTATTTATCGACACTCATGCATCAAACTTTTTTGGGCAACAGAAACTTTAAATCCACTTACTTTTTATATAAAATAAAAGAAAAATAGACGTCCTCATCATATTCAAGCATACTAAAATCCACAATCACATCATCCGGTCATCATACATGTACCACAAAAAGGACAGATAATATTTGACTTTATTGTGTGATGTGTTGTGTAGGTCCCAAGTATACAAATATGATAGCAAAAGATAACAGAAAAACAGTGTTGTAAACTTTATCAGCAGTTACAGGATTGTACCAGTTACCTGTCAACGAGCTATTTTTGTTTCATTTTCAATGATTGCAATGTTCAGTGTACATGTATGTGTATAATTATCACAATTTAAGAAACGCTCCGAGGCGATTTGTTTTGATTTAAATAAATAGATTGATCAGGTCATTTCTTAAGTAATGGGAAAAATGTCTAAATCAAATTTTCAATTCTGTAAACGCGCGCATTACTAGCATTAAAAGATGATAAATTATATGAAATATGTTTGTCTATTCGTGTATACTGACCAAAGCGGCTGAGCATTTTGGTTAAGAAATGTTGAAAATTGTTGGCGACACTTTTTCAGTGTAACACAACTTACTACATGTAGCCATTCCATTCAATATTTGTTTTATGTTCGAAAGTTCGGGAGAAAATGCAGGTCACTAAAACAAATTAAGTGATATACAAATTAACACAAACAAAACGCGAAGCATGTGATCAGCCTCTGCCATGTTGCAGGATGATTTGGTTTTTCGGATTTCTAATGTATGACGTTTTCAGGGATACATTCTACTTCAGTAAGAATGTTTTCGTTAAAGATCACCAAGTAATACTGCAATATTACAAAGGATGCCTCTTCAAATAAACATAGTGAAAGACTTACCTTGATCAGTTGTCAGAATTATATTCCCAAGCTCGACGGTAGACTCTATAACCCTCTACATGTCTATGTAAAATCTTGGAACCCTATTGTAATAACATCTAGGCTTCATGGACCATGGCTTAAACATGTTTGAATCTTCGGAAGTGTATGAATAAAGAAACCAACAAATATATTTTTCATTTCTTGGGTAGTGATTCTCGAGTATTCTTAATGTCTATTCCTTAGTTTTCACCTATTCTACAGCAGTTATTGCCGAGATTAAACAGTTCTTATCCTAAAGGGGTTGTTCCATGGACCTCCTCACAACAATGACAATTCGTAAATTTACAGTCAAAGCAAAATAATTTAATTTTGTTTGTATTCTAGCCTCTGATTGGTTAATATCCCAAAAGGAACACAAATTATTTCTGTATAACCTGGTTTGGTATGGGGACCCCCCCCCCCCCCCCGACAACCAGCTGAATCATCTGTATCCATACAATCCTCTTATTTCCAGTCCTCGGGATTCATGAAAAATTCCAGATTTAATAAATGTACCTTTAACTTCAAACAATAATTCGATCTTACCACATGTAAACAAACAACATGGCTGCTAGGTCTATGTATAAGTTTTTACCTCCCCTCGCTTCCCATCACTTCCGTTACTTCCGTTACTACGGTTGTATTATTGAGCGGCAAATTTGAACTAATAAAAAGCAAAGAAATTTTGCACCCATAGTTATTTAATGATTTTAAAATTAAATTATAAGGAATGACTCTAATTCTTGGCCAATTTATTCGAGTATAACGCTGCGTAAACTGACCCAAACTAGGTTAAACTCGAATAATTTGGCCAAGATTTAGAGTCATTCCTAAATTAATCGACAACAGATTTTGCTATTTCATAATAATAAAAAGTAAATGATATATACCGGAAACAAATTTATATATGATTAAATGATATATTTAATCCAACTAAAGCTCTAATCGTCTGCATTTCTTCAATCGATACACAAATATACAAAGAAGTGACCCTCTGATGTAACAAGGAATAGTCTAATCGCAATAAAGTGACCTAATTTGTTTCTCCATAGAGGAAACGATCAGCAGTATTTTAGAGCAGTTAGTAGAATAGAAATATGTTCTTGTTATCGTCGATGATGCAGGATAACCTCTTCGGTCTCAAAATATTGTTTGAGATATGATATCCTCGGCGTTATCGGCAAACGCCGAGACTTTTTTATTTCAAAACAATTTTGCAAGCTTCGAGGTTATCCTGCAAATCCGAGACAAGAATAACTTTATTTCTTTATTGGAAGGGGCATAAGTCATTTCCATGATTAAATCTGATTTTTTTTATCAGTGAAGGATGCTACAAAATATTACCACATTTAAACTCTTTTTAAAGAGATAAAGTAACATAAATAATTAATGTAAACAATTATGCCAAGCATGATTGATTTTTTTTCGGATCAGTATATGAAATATAAAGAAAACAAAGGAAGACAAAATATCCCTTTATAGCAAAAAATGGACCTACATGAAGCTCCATGCTGCAAAATTCCTCTTCGTCACTAAATCTCCAATATTGAATATAAGAAACCCAATTGAAATTGCTATATATATATATATATATATATATATATATATATATATATATATATATATATATATATATATATATATTAATTTATACCAATGTTCTGTAAAAAAAAAAAAATCATAAACGGATCAAGGATTCGGTAATAAAAAAAAAAAAAAAAAAAAAGGAGGGGGGGGGGTGATCACTTGAACATGTTGAAAGGGGAAGTCTACCATCCCCACCTAGGGCTTTTGGGCAGTTTTCACTGCACACCGAGTCCCGTTTACATCCCATTCTCACGTCTGTAAGATCTTAAGGAACCCTGAATTTTATTTTCAGATTCTTGTTGATCTTTCTTTGTATAGTTCTTCCGGGGGGGGGGGGGGGGTATTCCCGTCTGTTTTCCAGTATATTCTTTTCCCTTCTTTTTTTTTTTAATTTGATGAGTAAATCATAGGTTTGAAAGTTTTTTCCTCTTTTAATGGCTTTTTATCATGTCTTGGATTTGTGTTTTACTTGTAAATAATTGTTTTAAGAGATATAAAACTGCTGTACAAGTTTGGGTTGAGAAATTCATGTGTAAGACTTTTGCTTTGATGGGACACAAACATTTCATTTTTTTTTCTTTCAGTCCTTCAATTGACTTTATTTTATTTTGTGTTTTGTGAACAGTAGGCATGGCTTTATAATAAAGAGATGGGAGAGATGTCATGCAGAAATAGATTTAATTTCACAGCCAAACAATGATATAGATGTACCTTATAAATGAAGGGCATTCCAGCACCTCACAGGTTCCAGCAAATTTGAAGCGGCTGATGAATGTTAACACATGAAAATCAAATGCTACAGTACATTAACCATTCTCATCACACTTTAGAAAACTGCATTTTCAAGTTTTATTCAATAAATATCATTTGCATACAAAGATGTTTTGCCTTTTTTATCATATATATATATATATTTATGTAATAAATTCATTTTTAAAAATATCATATTTGTCTTTGGAATTGATTATTCCTAATTTGGAAAGCGCAAGATATTGTTTATTTAAGTGTTTGTCAATTTTCAATGAAAGATAATTTTGGAATAAAAAGACTATGAGATTGAACGCAATTTTAACATATTTCATTATACAAATATCTATTACATCAAATTGTACATTGTAGGGGTAATCAACTAAAAAGCTGCACCAATCTGTCAACTCAGAAGACCATCATAATCCAGGAGAGGACACTAATCAGGAAACCAACAAACACTCCAGGAGTCCAACACCACTCACAAAGACCAATATCACCCCCAGGTCTCCAACACCAGGACTCTAACACTAAGATTTAATTTAAAATGTATTTTTTAAAAGAAATATTTATCGGATTTCGGATTTCCAATATTTCGGCATGAGTATCACTTAATTTGTCGAAATACGCATCTGGTGCATCAAAATTGATACCGTACAAGATTTACATATTATCATGGAATGTTTTTATGTGTTGGACTATTTCATGAGCACATGTAAAAATACAAAACGTTTGCATAAAGTTCGGGTTTTGCACCATGATTAATTTATAAGATGTATTTTTGTGAAATTTATTATAACTGATCTATTGACGGGAAGTTAATTAAATGTTTACAATATAGATTCTATTTATAGACATTTTCCCTTATATAATTAAGACGGCATCTTAGACAATAAAACAAAATTTTAAATAAGTAATGACGCCCCCATCCCCCGGAAAAAAGAAGCGTTGAATTAACTTCTATTCAATGTCTAATCAACATTGATTTTCAACACTGAATCAACGTTAAGATTTCAACGTTGAATTCAATTTTCAAAATCTTACATAAACTAAACGTTGATTCAAAATTTTTTTCACAATGTTGTGTGCCTGCTGGGTATGGACTATTTATAAAATTGTCAGACTGATGGAATTCCTCTCCGCTAGAATAATGAAGTTTAGTCAAGACGCAATCCCTGACAGCTGCAGAATTGTTAAAATTGTGAAAATGTTCATGCAACAAGAATAGGGAATTAAATTATTCTTAGAATTAAAAAGTTTTTTTGTTGAGAATATATTGGAATTCTTTCTAAAAGATATTCAAATACAACTATGCCGAGATTGGCTATATTTAAATGCAAGTATCCTCAGATCATTCAAGAAGTGCCAATTCATATTCGTTCAAATTATGGCCCCAGACAAGGGGGTCACAATTGAAAAAAAAATATGGATAGAGGTGAAAATCTTTCTCCCAAGAACAAATGCATCATTTGACAGCGACATTTGAAAAGTCCGAGCACAGTAAACATATTTTTTAAATTAATGAAAACAGTAAAACTCATATTTTCAACTTATAGCAAAAAAAAAACTAATTTCAAAGAAATTATTACTAAGCATTTAGGTCAATTTCATTTTTTTTCCTTATTGCAACAAACACTACGTATACGTATCAGTTTACAAAAATAGTGTATACTCCATTTATTTAGAAGAGGGTTTTGAGTGGATAATATTTTGTATTGTGTGCTTTATTTTAGCTCATTAACAGATTTATTTGGAAAAAATTGTTTAAAAGGTGTCTTTCATCAGAAAAGATATTGAACTTGGAAACTTGGAAATTTCATTGAAATATTTTATGATACATGTGATACAAGACAAACGATGTTTTTGATATGAACATTTTTGACAGCTCTATACATGTAACTAACCTGACAAAAATACTATAGTAAACTATTTTTAACTATAGTTTACAATACTTAATCATAGTGATAACTTTGACACTATGAAAACTATAGTTACATGTAACTATAGTGATAACTTTGACACTTTGATTTACTAAAGTGATAACTATGATACTATAGTGATAACTATGAAAACTTTAAAATACTAAAGTGATCACCAAGAAAACTTTGATTTACTACGATGAAAACTTTGATTAACTATGGTGAAAACTTTGATTTACTTTGAAAACTTTGAATTACTTTAGTGATCACTATGACACTATAATGATCACTTTGAAAACTTCGATTTACTATAGTGATAACTTTGAAACTTTGATTTACTAAAGTTAACTATAGTAAACTATAAATAACTATAGTTAACTATAGTTCACTATAGTTTACTATAGTATCTTTTGTAAGGGGAAATATCCTATGGCTTTAACGTGTGGTAAGAGAGACAAACTTTCTCTTTTGAATAGGATGGATTGTAGTTGTTGAAATATGCATCATACTTAATGAAAAAAAAATGTATATCAATTAGCAACAAATAAATCTATAGCCTTAGAAGGCTTGACCCAATAATAGTGTATCAAATGTGCGAAAGATATTAGACTTCCTCTTTTATTCGATATTTAACAGCATTCCTTTTTATTACGGTAATAACTATTTTCAACGTGTAACAGAACAATAAATCTATCGTGGTATTTTAAATAAATTGTTTCAATATTTCCTTTTTAGCTAAACAACTAAATAATAATGAAAAATGAAAGAATGTCAGTAGTGATTTGGATTTTATCCAGGTTTAAAATTTACCCTTTCCTTCAAATGAGTGATTATTTGTGTCCCATGACCGAGGACATGCATAAATACATTTACGTGTCCAAGAAAACGTTTTGGTTTGGAGTATCTTAATCAAAAAGCACGTGTTTTCTTACAAAAAATTATCCTGATGAGTAAATCTAGAATTTTTTACACGCATTTTCAGAAATTAACCAATGCAATCACCACAATCATATTTTTTTTAATTTAAAATACGACAAAATTTATATTACAAAGTATACGAATTAAACCTGACAAAAGCACAAAAAGCAGATTTCATCACACAAACTGTAAACAGAAATTGCTGGACATTGCATCAAGGATAGGATTTCCTGAGGCATTCTTTAATCTTTCAAGACACTTTCTTTATATTCAATATCACTACCAAGTTCTGAATTACAAACGGTTCACTGCAGTTTGTAGTTTTATGTCTCTTTCTCAGGAAAAGGGTCGGCCTTCTCCGTCACTCAATCGTGGTTCCCTGTAAACAGAGAAAAGCATAAAAGCGAAGTTAACGAGTATTCACATGTCAGAAACTCCAGACTACATGTACCTCTCATCAAACAAACCACAATACAATAGAAGAAAAGAGGTCAATGCGCCACAGTACTCATGTTAGTAGCTTTTGCCATGCTGTAATTTAAAAGATTTTTAAAGAACATTACCCCAGGGGTAAAATGGGGGCCAAAAATGACGTTTATTCTACAAAAACGTAACGATGAAATATGGAGATAACAAACAATATTCAAGCTCATAATTTCATTTAAACAATACAAATCTGGAGCTGTGCAAACACGGATCTCTAAAACATCAGGTCACTGTGATCTACATGATGTTATTGACTTATGAAAACTTTGGAGATTTTCTAAAAGTTCTTTAGAGTTTTTGAGAATCCACATCTGATTTACATTTCTAGTAAAATATAAAGAATACAATAAACAGAACGTTCAAAATTAAATGAAAATATGTATTATTATGCAATCTTCAACTGTATGTTATGTATTTCAAATATGAAAACGTTTCATCGAAATAAACATACCTAAAAAAGACGTAACAAGTTTTATTCTCATCACAGAGTAAAGTGCAGGGAACTAATTTAGATACAAAAATCAGCAACAGCATAATCAAAATAATCATCAGCATCCAGCCAGCATTAGCATCAGCATCATTTGGAGATATTGCATTTCATTTGGTGATATTGGAGTTACAGCATCTCATTTGGAGAAAATTGGAGTACAGTTATGGAATTTCATGCAATGCAGCTCCAGGTAAAAAGATAAGGTGCAATCATGTTTAAAATACGATGTATGAAACGGTGATGAAAACTTACCCACACACTGGGTTTCTGATGTTGAACCCTCTGATAGAGTGTAAATATTTAAAGGACCGGGACATGCTTTACAGCTGGTCTGTCCTGTACTACTCTGATAGAAGTTTCTTGGACATTTCTTACACACATCCATTGTAGTGTCATGATATGTTCCTTCTTCACATGCCTCTGAAAAAGTTAAAATAAGTATGCAAAAACGTGTGATTGTATATAACATTCTTTGTATTCAGGTTATTTTCTATAGATTAAGTTGATTTGCGAGATATTTCATGTATGTAAGGAGCCATAAATTAGATGCCTCTAACATGATGTACATTTAACAAAATATTCTTTTCTTAAAATGATAATCAAGCTTACTATGCATGTTAATATTCGTATTTTTCAAAGTCAACGGATATAAATACATGTATGATGTTGATTTAATGATCCTGTATGTTACATAGTCCGTAGAAAAATATTGTACTTGTAAAGAACACAAATATTTAAAGCAATATAAGCTGAAACTTTGATGTCGGAAATTTTGTTGCAATATTGTAGTTAACTATTTCATTGACAGAAAAAAACTTAATCAACTTTATTTTTTATATTTGTGATGGGAGAATAGTTTTTAGCTTGATTGAAGCAAAATTACATTATTGTTGTCCTGTACTTCATTGATTTCTTATATAAAACTATACATTCCACTACATTGTACAGAAATTTTTCTTCTGAAACAATTTACCACTTCCTTTTAGTCTAATTTATCATAAAGATTTGAGTTACTTACAGATTTATGATAAAATCAAATTTTAACAGCAAAATAAAATTCTAAAAAAAAAAATGCAGCTCATATTGCTTTAAACATAAGACTGAAAATAAATCTTTTATTTTCAGTTCAGGAGCAAAAAATATTTCCACAAATCATTATAAATGATGAACCGAGCCAAAAATGACATGAAATATCATGTACATACCACACATCTCATTGTTGCCATTAGGAACAGTCCCACTTGCACATGTTAATTTCTTCCCAACATATGTAGAATTAAGTAAACGTAATGGCATCACCTGTCAGCAGAAGAGAAAAAAAGTGTATTCTAGTTTGTTTTTTTGTTTTTTTCATTGAAGCAATAACACACTTCAAAATGAACAACAAACGCCATACTTATATTATAGAACATTCTTCAAAACTTAAGTTAGCTTTAATTGTTTTCACCTTCTTTGTGGCTAACTTCTAAATTTGGTGTCTACACTATAAAGAAAAAATTCGACCATAGCGAAGTTCTGGGGACCTGGTAGCAGAATTTACTATACTATATTCATAATTTATTATATCTGTATAAGGAATTAAATTACTACCGACCATAGGTAACTATACATTTCTGCTTAAAAAATTTCAATTCAAAATATTCTTAAGAATAAAATGTATATATACATTTTTTTTTAAAAATTTGGACATCAGAAAATTCTTCATAGAAGTAAATTTTGCTATTTTTAACCTTTACGGGATTAAAAAAAAAAGCAATTCGCCATATTCATAAATTTCTTATATCAGAGTTCGTTAACTTTGTAACATTTTAAAAGTAACATGTAAGAATGTTACCGAGAGCAGACCTGGAGTTATGGTTATGTGTAATTGTAAGGAATTGTAATCATAACATTTTTCAAAGAAACGGTTTCTTATGTGTATTTAAAATCACAGTAAAACATCACCTAAATCAGCATGGATTTGAAACAAATGAAGATTTTTAAATGCCTATAGATACCCAAAATCCGGAAAAGTCGTACCGAACCTATTTGAGTTTCGTTTATTCAAATCAAGGGGAGAAGACATTTAAATCGGACACTTGAACAATCTGATGGTGGATCATTGACGGGCGCGTTTGCCGAATGATGCTTCTTGCGCTATTTTACCTGAGAAGAAATCGAATGGAGTTGTATTGATACCTGTAGCCATAGTGATCAAACTAAGAAATTTGCACGCTTGCATTTGAAATAATACAGTAAGTATGAACATTATTTATTTAAATTTTAAAATGAAAGAAGTGTATTTAGGTGGCTTTCAATACCGGTAGTATTGTGTTGCATGAATGTTAAAAATGTTTGACGCTTTTATGTATGATGACATTTAACGACACTAAACTTTCCTAACCATCCCGTGTTCCTAAAACCAAATACATAAAAACTTCTCTATTCGGCACGACTTCGATATAATGATAAAAAACGTGCATGGCTATCTTTTACAGTGAGCACCCTTGAGGAATGTTTACATGGGTAGAACTCACGTGTCTACCGGTATTTTAAATAATTTATTCCACGGGTGGGTTCAACATAGGTCATACAGGTAAATAGCTTTCGCTTGCTATAGGAAAAACATTGAACTTTTCATACATTTTTAATATTTTAAGTACAAGCCTAATCTTGTACAAATTTCCTACTTTCACACAAGTTTTATAAAATGTATAATGCGCTTTTTTTCATTCACACAAATTTGTACAACGTTAGGCTGACAGTAAACAAAAGCTTTGAAATGAATGACCGTCCTCGATTTACTATAGAAAATCACGAATGTTGGCTCACCCCTTCCACATTGTATGGCTTTGCTCTTTGTATATTCATGAATTTCAGCGATAAAATTTGTTGAATCTTATGGTTTAGATATCAATTAATGATCTGAGATGAAAAATTATGCTTAATTTGATTCTTCATTTTTTCACATTTTAGCGGGGTCCTTAAGTGCACTCGTTCTTTGCAATTTAATGAATGAATGTATGGTAATGGTATTGTAATGGGAAAATTCTAGAGTAATTGTAATCTAATACATTTACATTTCAAAGTTATTAAATTTTTTGTGACAATGTTTTGAATAACAGATTGTTTACGAATACATGACATTATTTCTGGGCTTAACGTACCTGTGGTGAATATTTTGTTTTCTGTGTGTCTATATCCTCTTGTAGAACAGCTTCAGTTCGAACATTTATTGCAGGCCCACTACTGTTTGTAACTGTTGGACTAAAAGAACAGCATTTTTTAACTGATAATTCAGTCAGTTGTACTGTTAAGGTCAGTTTTAATCAAATCAAAACCTTACAGAAGAAAAACCTCATTATAGCATTCCTTACAAGTTCTAAAATTGAAGTATTCTTTTTGTTTATAATACCTATTTTTTTATGAAATGAACGCTGCCAGATTACAGTAGTTTATAAAATTTAGTCATACCTTACAACTGGGATCTCTACTTTAATATCGACATCAAAGGCATCCGCAGATCTTTTTTTACGGCATGTTGTCCTACATGCTTTTAAATTTACCTTTACAGACTGAAAACACTCACTGACGTTTTCTTTGTTGCACATAGTGGGATATTTCTTTGCTAATTCAATAAGCCGACTTATTACTTTTATCCTAACTTGTGCCAGAAACGCATTTTTGGCCTCTTCATCCGAACAATTCACGCTCATCCTATACTTAAGATTAAATGAATATCTCTGCTCTTTTGGTGGTACAGACCTATCCACTACATTTTCTGGAAAAAAAATTGTATACATATACTTGTGCTACTGCAAAGCAGTTGAGGAGTTTATTAAATAAAACCAGGACTTAATATCTGTTGCAAACAGAAACGTCACAAGACCCTGTCCCAATTGAAAATTGACTATCCCCCATCTCCCATAAAGTAAAAATTCCCAAATTACAAGCACATTGAAATTGTCAGTGCATTTTACAAAGAAATCATTTATTCTGAGATTATGATGGTTCATGAACATGTAAACAAAGGAAAAGTCAATAATACAATTAATCGTGTTTATTCTACAGAAGAACATCGGGGAAAAAATCAATTTTTCCAGATTTTACCGCTTTATTCAATTTAAAATTCCCAATTGAAAGGGTTGCATTGATATGAAATTATTATAGATCTCAGGCTTGGGGTATTTTATAGATCTCTAGTGCAGATTATTATCTGTACAAAATACAAAGCAGAATGAGATCCTTCTTTGGTGTTGAACGTAAAAACGCATTATCTTATGTAAGTATTTGAGTTTTTGTTGCCATGTGCGCATAAAACCAGATTCCAAATTTCTTTCTTGACTTCTGATACGTTTGCAATGTATTCATTTCTAGATCACCCTCCTCTCTCTCCCTCTCAAAAAAACCAAGTTTTGCAAACTGTATGTTCTAAGAATTATAAAACTATAATTTTAAAAAGTTATATATATGACTACCTTGCCGCTTGAAACACGATGATGACTTGGTTCCATTTGTGATATACCCTTTGGGACACATGATGCAGTATTCCGAGATACTCCTATTGGTATAAAAGCCTTTTGGACACTCTTTACATGTACGAGAATTCCGATTAAACTCGGTGCCATCCTCACAAGATGCTGTATTAAGATAAGAACTAAATGTCCAACATCTGATGTTTAATTTTTTATAAACATAGTTAAAGTTCAATATATGTAACATAAAGAACTGTAGATAGTAAAACCTTTACCGTTTAGATTTAAATAACCTTAGTAAAATGTACGTTCATGCTGGTGAGATTTACTTCGAACTACCAGAACTTACATGTATTATTATATATAAAGCTTCATTCAAATCACACAGAAATGGTACGTAATTGTACAAAATAAATAAACGAATAAATATACAGCTTTCACAAGGAACTTCCTTCATCCAACCAAGCTGGCGTTTATTTTAATATCGGGTTATTATTTTTATTCTGAAGATAATCATACAATGAATTCTTTGGTGGATCAACATTTTGAAAAAGTACACATGGATCCATTCTTTTGTCTCTCAGTATGGTATACATGTATACAGGTCACAAAAACTACATAGATATAAACCGGTATGGCTGATACCATAATCAGGATAAAACACTACATGTACATTACGGACTGTGAAATAAACATGCATACTTCACTTATTTACCAAAACAGTAACTATCTGAAGCTGCCCCTGTAGTTTCTGTTTGTTCTTCCCCTTATCAATAAATCCTGTCCCACTCATGAAATAAATTCCATTTCCACAGCAAAACATTCAATATCCTTTATATATTTAACTTATTTACCTATACAGTAACTCTCAGAACGTGCTCCTGTGGTTTCTGTTGTGTTCCTTTCCGGAGGACATTTCTTACAGGAATTTTGCTCAATCTCGTCCTGGAACTCTCCAACAGGACATCTTCCACACACAGTATCTGTTATCACATATGTCCCTGGCAAACACACGGCTGCAAAACATTTTAATTACATTGAAACCGATTAACTCCATACTTTACCACGAGGGCTCTATAGACATTATAAAATAAGACATGTGAGTCACTTAATTATAAATCAAATCTAATCCATGATTTTTTTCGGTTGCTAATTATCCCGGTAAAATTAGAAAAAAAAAAATTTAAGCTGAATCCTTCCTGGACCAAAAAAATCTCATTTGTTTGTTGAATAAACCCATTTTTCTTTTACAAATGATATTTTCTCCCTCTCATTCTCTCTTTCCCCCATTCTCTCTCTCTCTCTCTTATTTTTGCAAGCCTAAAGAATTAAACATAAGAGATTTAAAGGATCACGTAACATACTTCTATGTGTATCACTGAAAACTTTGATATTTCTGCTTCAAAACCTGACACCTTTGATCTTTAGAAAACTATAACTTTATATATCTGATTTTTTTAATTCCTTACGATTCTAAATATCACTGGACATGATTTTCAAACAGTAATAAATACAAATAAGAGGCCAAAGGGCATTGTTTTCAACTTTTTTTTCATAGACACAACATTGATATCTGATCTTTCCCCTCAAATGGATATTTTCTCTATATTTATTTATTTTTCCCCTCCAATAATGTTATCAATTCGGTATAATTATGTTCTTGCACTTGTATAACTTGACCCCTGATTATACAATTTTATCTATTTTCTAAATTCCATGGAAAAAAACTCAAGTCAAAATTTAACTTAAAGGGGGGTCCATCTTCTCACTTACAAATGTTACACATCAGTCCTTTCCACAGATCAGAACAGTTCTTGCAGCTTCCATTAAAACGATCACAGGTTTCACCATTAAAACAGTTTCCACTACACCTCTCTAAGCAGTCTTTACCATATTCTCCGCTGCCACATGCTGTAAGAATACGTAATATTTATCCATTTATTCATTTGCTTAGTAACTTTCTTTTCATGAGAACCTAAACAAAGAGCGATGTTGAACTTAAAGCAAATAGGGCTTTTTCCCTATAAAGGTAATGACAAGAGTGTTCCAACACAGGCATTTGGCGATATATATTTTTTAAATTTAAAATGCATGTATAATTTATTACCTAATAATTCCCAAGGTGCACATTTCCGCCATCTTGAATTTTTCTTGATCAGTCACACAACTTGTTTTATCGTCTGAAACTCTGTGAAATTAATTCCCTGCAGCCATATTTATTCAGTGGTCAGTCTTTCGGGATATCAACTTACAGACACTGTAATGGCGCATCAGACGTGTAAATAGTAAAAAAAGTTTACTGAAAGGTAACTAAATGGAAAATCTCTGCGATTCAATCACCTTTCCAGACCTTTCAGTGACCATTCAATTGACTGAAAGGTGCTGTTTCATCCTGTGAGAATTAAGTTCACGGAGACGAAAAACAAGTTGATTTGAATGACATAGAAAGACTCAAGATGGCGGCGATGTGTACTTTTTGAATTTTTAGGTAGGAGTTATATTTTTTTAATAAGAAAATATGTGACGTCAAGTGCCTGTGTGTTCTGTTTCACCAGCTATGACATTATTAAAAGTAGGTGTACTCAACTATTTGTATACTTTACATGCATTTGTCCATAGAGAAAAATGTTCAAAAGAAATTTTGTTATGAAATGTTTCTAACAGAAAAACGTGATCCATATAGTATTTCTGACTATTCGTCCTACTCATTTTTTGAACGTTTTAGGATTTATTTATACTTACAAATATTACATAAAGGTCCTTTCCATCCGGCAGAACAATTACTACAGTTTCCAGAGAAACGATCACAAGTAACACCATTCAAACAGTTACCACTACACCTTTCTAAGCAGTCTTTTCCATATTCTCCATTTTCACAAGCTGAATTATATGAGATAGTATTTGTTATTTTTTAACAGATATTCTTTTTATTGCTTCTCCAGTTTCCTCTTTGATTATAGTGAAAAAAGAAAAACATCCATAAGTTATTTTTATCACAGCATGATAATCACATTCGGCATCATTTGAAGTTTAAATCTTCAGCTTTAAGGCAGAAACAAGTTAAAACACAGCTCTAGACATTCAGGAATGATGCAAGTTCATTGCTTAAAGATGTCCGAATCAAGGAATGCGTCCAATGCATGGTAAACTAACCTTATATTTGGAAACGTTTTATCGCAGAGATTATTTTGGAAAGGTTTTTAACACAAAGAGTCGCAACAGTTCTTTTTTTTTGGCCTTATGAATGAATGATATGAGTTATTCAAAAAAGAAAGGCTTTAGTTTTTACTTACAGACATTACACAAAGGACCTTTCCATCCAGTAGAACAGTAACTACAGTTTCCATAGAAACGATCACATGATTCACCATTCAAACAGTTTCCACTACACCTCTCTAAGCAGTCTTTTCCATATTCTCCGACATCACAGGCTGAAAGAATAAAATCATACAGTACTGTAAGCTCCCCCACGAATGGCAACCCTGGAATAGGGGCTATGCAATATACTGGTGCAGCATTTCTCTAGGTCACTCCGTAATAATTTAAATATATCTCTCAGTACGGACAGGTTTCGTTTTGTTTGGTGGGATCAACCGTGCATTCAAGGGTAAAAAAAAGACTTGGAAATAATATAAAATATGGATTCTGATTGCATCAGAAACGAACTGCATTGGTGCTTAGTGTATTTAAGGTCAAGAATTTTACTTGTGGATCAACTGCTTTGCAACCTTCGAAAGGTTCGTGCAAGCACGTTTTGATTTTAGGGGAAGATCTGTCTCCGTCTCAGTGTCGTTCCATGTTTCTTTTATTCGTTCATTGCTGCGTGCATTATTTCATTCACTCGTCCAAAAAAATGTTCACAACCGTTCTATTGCCAAGCGTTGGGTACTTTGAAGTGAAAGTAACGGGTCTTGCGGATGAGACCTTAAAAACCAAGGCCCTGTTTCGCGGCAGGCGTTTGCACGATAAAAGTGCTCAATGGTCCGAAGTGTTGAGTAAAAGGGTTAATTTGAAGTAATTCACTGGTAGATGGTGCCGTTTCATATGATTGATATAATCTTGCAACGGACAATAAACATCAATCAATCAATAGAATAAAATATATCATTTACTATTCCAATGAAATGCGTTCTAGTATTTTTATTTTAATCTGGTCCTATCCCAGTGACAATAATATACAAACAGTATATCTAGCCATCAACAGCTTTTCTGATACAGTAGTACACTGTAAATTGCAAATCAACTTAAAGTTCCCAGCACATCAGTAGTATCAGCTTTCTTATATTCAGTTTACTTTGCAAAGTATATGCTAAACCTTATCTTAACTAGTAAAGAAATACTGCTCTGTTACTACAAAGACAGGTAAATCAACAAATTTACATATGTAGCATATCAGAATTTTGTATATAACTTTAAAATTGTACGTGTTTTTATTTTTATGCACTTATAATTAAGAAATATAGGTAGGTAAATAAAAGTTTTACAAACATATTAAATTTCAAAGTTATTAAAAGTGTCTGTGTTAATTTATTTTACAATTTTGTTGACAATTATTTTCCCGCCAAAACTCCGTTGAGTGATTGGTGCAGACCTATCACATGACTGGTGACAATAGACAGGTTTTTGAATTTCTGTGGGGTGTTAGTTACTCTTGTCCCGTGCTGTGGTACCAGCAGGTTGTGTTTCTAAGTTATTTACTTTGGACTATTGGATTTTCAGTCATGGTATGTTTGACTTTTTATTTGGTATTTATCTTGGAAGTTTAAGTATTGTTTCAGGATGAGATTTCTGCATTTTTATGTTTTCAGTAGTTAAAAACTTGCATGTTTAATATTCTTTTAGAACAGCACAGCACTTAGTAAATTTATAGATATATATTGAAGAGCCTAAATTCCATAATTTTGGTAAGTCGTTTGTTAAATGTAATTTGTAAATGTAATTGTAAATAATATTAATTTTATTTCTAAACTTTCATAATTAAATAGGTTCAGTGGAGATCACTTTATAAATTAAATTTATGAGTAATATAAATATTAAGATATTGAGTTAATGCGGCATGATACGTATTAATTAGTGAGAGACTATTTTATGATTAGTGTTTTGTATCATTATATGAAAATGAGAGTATTGTATACATTGCTGAGGTTTTGTACATTTATTTTGCTGGGCCAGAGAGATAGATAGTTGGAAAGATAGAGATGTGTATTTATGTATTGGATAATATAACCTGCTGAACATTTACACCTGTGTTCTGGTTTATTTTTTTAAAAAATATTTCATACGCAACCAAGGTTTACATTTGGAGCCCCCCCCCCCCCCCCCCCCCCAGTTTGAGATCGAACGTGAAGAACCAGTTTGTGTTCCTTATTTCATTTTTTACTCACTGGATTTACATAGTACATTTGTGCGGTGAGAACTAATCAGGTTACACCTGAATGACGCGCACCTGTTGGCGGATCCTAGGTTAAGAATGGAAAAACCCGGGAAATAGTGACTTCCGGAAGTGAGAGCAAAACCCAGAGATGGATCCTAGCCTTACAGATTTACAATCAACAACATTTTCATTTTGATTTTTGCTTATTATTTGGACCCAGACAGTCCAATGATTATGAAAATTTCCTATCAGTGATATGTTTCGATTTACACCGAGAGACGAACATAGCCGTTGCCTTGTCGAATATTTTGTGTACGACTTCACCTATAACTGCGAACCGGAAACATGTGTTGCTGGATGTAAACAATGCAGTGTCAACCTCGATTACCTTGTGTGTGTTTTTTTTTCATTTTGTGACTTTAATTCATTTCAGTTTGGATTTATCGCATTTATTTATTTTCATTTGTATTATTTTCTTTTCATTTTAGATTTATATTTTGTATTCTTTGTGTTTGTGAGTTTATATTACGTTTTGTCTCCACTGAAGTTAAAGTGAAACCAAAGTTTACAGACAGCATTAAGTAAAGTATTGGTAAGCTAAACAAATTAAAATACTTAGACATTTATTTAAACATTTATAAATAATTGAAATACATAAGTCAGTAGGTAATTGCATGGCACTACTAACAATGCATAGTATCACTAACCTGTCAGTTGTAGTATAGGCCTAGTCAAAAACAAAGGTGTACATTGAGGTGTATAGTTAGTTGCACAGTCAGAGTAGTGTGTTGGAGAAATTGTGTGTATTTTGATTTGACATTATGGACAACGACCTGTTTACAGGTAAATGCTGATTGAGTTTGTCTGCGTCCAACGGGTACTGTCACTAATACTATTCAATAGATTAGATACAGTATTAGACATTTCAGATAAAAACATGATAAAGAGTGCGTGACAAACTTGCATTTCCTGATCAAAGTTTAATGTTGATCCTTTGTTCAATGTCGTCAAAAGGTCACCACTATTACTGTTGTTATTAAGCTAAAAGTTTTTGAAATGATCTTCGAATCATATTGTGAGAGTGTGGATGTAGAAACCGCTCAGTTGTTTATCATAAGTGCACTTTTTTGTGTTCGGTTTTGTCGTGTTTTTCGTAAACATTGATCATGGCGACCGAAGAAGAACAAAAGCTTTTACAGGCTTTTAAAGAGCTTGGTTTAAACCCAAAGTGTGATACATCAGCTGATCTTCAAAAATGGCTAGAGGATTTTTCAGCATCAGCCAATCCAGATAAAAAACCTGACATTTCAACAACCATAGTGCAGTCAAGCCACACAAACATGCCAGGGTTGTCATTTTTTTATGGAGAAAGTGCGACAAAAGGTGAGGCAGATTATGAGCAGTGGTGTTATGAGGTGGAGAGTTTGCTGCATGAGAAAACTTACAAAGAGGACATTATTATGCAAGCCATTAGGAGATCTGTCAGAGGTGAAGCTAGCAGAATACTGATGAGATTAGGACCAGGGATAAGTATTGGTGCTATATTGGAGAAATTTGAAAGTGTGTATGGGACAGTGGACACCAAAGAAGAATTACTAGCAAAATTTTACAGCGCCAAACAAGGAGAAAAAGAGGATATTACATCTTGGTCATGTAGGCTTGAGGACATATTAAACAGAATCATAGAGCAGGATCTAATCACACTCTATGACTCAAAGGAGATGTTAAGATCAAAGTTTTGGGCAGGCCTCAGACAGGATTTAAAAGATATCTCTGGATTTAAATTTGAAATGATTACAGATTTTGACAAACTTAGAGTGGAGTTGGGAAAAATTGAAAAAGAACATAAAATAACAGAAAAAGATACCAAGGAAACCAAGAAAACAACAAACTCAACACAACTTGTTTATGAAAATGTAGTGAATAGCCAAAAGGGTCAACAAGAGTCAGATATCAAGGAATTAAACTGTCCAAAAGGGACAAATACCCCCCGCTGGGTTTTTCAGAGAAGGTACCAAATCACTAATGTTTTCTAGATGTGAGAGGTGTTCACAATTTGCTTAAACATTTGGAGTGAAAATTTAATTACTCATTATTTTTTTTTATGAATGAAACTAAGGTGCAGCCTAATAAAACATCAATACTAGTCACATGCTAGTAATTACAGTGTTTTTTTTTATTATATTGAAAAAATAGTTTGCAACTATATGTCATCTTTGTGAGACATGACACTCTGCAAATTGATTGTTAAAAAAAAAATATCATGATTAATTATACAAAATAAAATTGATCTTAATACCTTTATATCAAACTCATTTTAAAAATAAAAGGCTGGTTCCAGTAACTATGCATTTTGACAGACATAAATTACAATTAAGAGACTTAGACAACTGAGATCTTTATTTCTTTCTGCCCAGTTCCCAGGAGATAAGATAAGACCTGCTTGATCAGAGATGCCCTAACAGCTTCCCACACTGAACTCATTAATTTATCTTTAACTGGATGCATGTCCACTCATTACTCCCAAGCTTAAGGGACAAATGGATAACACTATCTGCTGTGTAATGTAAAAACTGTTTTTAATACTTTGTGATTTTTTTTACTGCTAATGAGTAGTTTTAAGCTGTAGTTCACATTTTTGTACAGATGTTCTAGATTCTATGTCTCAAACCTTAGTCATGAACCCGAAATGACTAAGTCAATAAAAATGAAAAAAAAAACACCTGTAAAATGCAGAAAAATTATCAAATAATGTTGAAAATACCAGGTGCACATCTTCATATGGTAAATAATAAGTGCACAAATTCTCAAACAAATCTATGCAATAGTCTCTGGGAACAGATCTGGACAAAACCACATAATAAAAATGAAAAAAAAAAAAAAACACCTGTAAAATGCAAAAAAAATTATCCAATCATGATGAAAATACCAGGTGCATACCTTCATATGGCAAAGAATAAGTGTACAAATTTTCAGACAAATCCTTGCAACAGTTTCCAAGAAATGGTCCGGACAAAATCTCGTCTACAGACAGACGGACAGACAGACGGACAAGCT